TAGGCCTTAGGGAGTCACATTTTCACTTTTGATTTTATTGTTTTGCCTTGGGACAATGCAATCTCTTAAGTGTGGGGTGGAGTGCTCCTATTTGATTGTATTTGTACTTTTTTTTTATTTGCCAGTTGGTTTTGTTTGATTTGTTTCTTGCTTTCTTAGACAATTGGTCTGTAAACTATAATTCTGAATTCTATCGGGCATGTAATAGTTAGTAATTAAGTATATAGTTCGACTCTTCTCGATGATGGATTTCGTCGACTGGTTTCTTGAGGGAGATGAGTCGAAATAAAAAAAAATCATATATGTGAAAATCCAAAAATATGTCTTTTTTTAGGTAGTGTAACAATTTCCCCTTGGTTTTTCTTTGTGTCGCGGGTTTTTTTTAAGGATTTTAGTTGAACCGGGTGTAGTTAAATCTTTTTATATTTTTAGGAATTAAGAATCTTTAGTTAGGAAGCTAAGTTGAATGATCAATTTCCCTTGATTGGATATGTCTTGAAAGTAGTAAGGGCCTTAGTTGTGACACCTAGGCTCAATTCTTGACTCTTAAATAAGTGCCCTAAATTGTATGATCTTAACCTTGCTTAATTGCTTTGATTAGAGTGTTGATGAGTCCAATCCTGAGTGAATTATGTGCCATGTGCGTGTGAGGTTTGTTGTATTTTGTGCATTGCATTTGATGTCTAGAACTTGCCCGGTGTATTTGCAAAGCGAAATAGTAGTTTTTTCAGTCTTGGAAGTGATATAGGCGTTTTTTAGCCATATATATATATATTATACCCGCCTAATTGCTATGTATCGTAGTTAACCCCTTTAAACCTGTAATCCTATTTCTTTGGAAACCACATTACAAGCCTTACCCAATTGTTTGAATTAACCATCTATTTGAACCTTTTCACCTCTCATGAGCACTTGAATTGTTATGAACTTTGTAAAATTTAAAGTGTGGGGTGGTTGGTTGGGATTTTGAGTGGAACTAATGGAATAAGGAGAAAGGTGCATGGTGTTGGAAAAAAAAGTAAGAGCCACTTGAATTGAAAAAGAAAAAATATATATATTCTTTGATAGTAGTGGCTATTGACGTAATTGTGCTTAAAGAAGTATGGAGTTAATATATATATTGATGTGAAGGTGGAGTTATGGTTTGACATAAGTACGGGTTTGAATGTTAAAGTATATGTATTAAAGTGCTTAAAAAGGTGTAGTCACTCTTATAATGAAATGTATCTACCCGACTCATAACCTACATTACAACCAATTAAAGTCCTACTTGATCCTAGATTGAATGAGCTTGATTAGTAGAGTAGTACACTACGGGCAAGCCTATGGTGCATCTTTTGTGGCATATGAATATTATTTCTGAGAGTGAGTGAATTCTTTCTATCCTGAGTTCCTAAGTGTTTTAAATTTTATTCTGTGGAACTGCTCTCTTTTGTTGTGTGAGGGCACTTGATTCATGAAGGAAAGGTAATATCATTAACCTCTATGTTAGAGTAAGTGGGCGAGTGACTAATGCATGGTACTTTTGAGTCGAATCTTGAGGGTGGGATGTTATGATAAGGTGCTCAGTCTACTTTAATTATTCCTGGCATGATTTATCAGGGAGGTTTGATAAAAGGTTATCCCTAGGTGTAGTGTAGTTCAAATGCTCGAGGACGAGCAATTGTCTAAGTGTGTGGTATTAATGTTAGGCTAGAAACCCGTGTTTTAGCCATAGTATTACATTCCAATTACTGCATTTTTACGTATGTTTGAGCTCAAATGATAGTGAATTACATTTAGTAAGTGGTTTATGCCTTACAGGAAGTGATCCTGAGCTCAAAAGTTAAATTAGAGCTAAATTGATCAATATGGAGCTTTGAAGTCTGAGTAAAAGCCCAATACATTAAGTCGGGATCATGTACCAAGTCCGGATGTTAAAAGAGGATGAAATAAGTTCACTCTGAGGAAATTACACTGCCGCTCCGTATGGGGCACCGCAAGGTGCGGCGCAGCGGTGTAAAGGGCTGCTTGACAAGAAAAGTGGAGGCTGCAGACAAAGTCCACTAACGCGCCGCATGGTGAGGCGCAGCGTGCGGCGTAGCTGTACGTTTTTTACAGAACCAAGTCCTATTTCGTGCAGGAAAGGGTGTTTCGTCTAGGCCCGACCCTACTTGGTATAAATACATATAAAAATGCTATTTTGAGGACTTTTGACATATCTTAGACCTAGGGAGACTATTTCGGAAGGGAGAAAACATTTGGATCAATTTTCGGAGGAGATTGGCATCGAATTCTTCATTCCTTCTTCTTTGCTTTGTAATTTAATTATGCAAATTATTTGGAAAATTGTTACTATGAGTATAAGTAGCTAAATTCCTAATCTAGGGTTGATGGAACCAATTGTTAGATGAAGTTTTGACTCAGTTTTGTTATAATCGAGCCGGGGTTATTATATGATTGTTCAACTATGTTTTGTATGGTGATTAATTGAATGGGCCCTTGATTAATCGTGTCTAATCGCCTTGTGTTGTTTGAGAAAGAATACTAGGTTAGATTGCTGTTGAACAACACCACTTTTGAGTAGTTGAAGAGATTCATTACTTGAATTTAAAAGTGGGGTTAGAAATAACGAAACTTTGGTGTGATAATTCAGAGTTGCATAAATTATCGACTAGAGTAGTTCGAGACAATGATCTAGTAAATTATCGTAGTTGATCGAGAGATAATTGTTGTAACCCATAGCTCATAATTCGCATAGAGTATTACGGCGAGATTATAGCAAAAGAGTTAAGAATTAATCTAGCAATTGGGGAAATCAATACCCTAGATCTCTCTACCATTGAATTATCTTTAATTTGGAATATTATTAGTTTTAATATCATTTTACTTTAGTTAAACAAATCCCAATATTTATTGATAAAAATCTTGCATCCAGGAATTGTTTGAGCTTGCACTAGCATCACTAAGAGTTGTAATAGATAGGTTAGTTACCTGAGAATTCGACTCCAGACTTATAAACCGGATTATATTTGCAACGACCGCTTTATCTTTTATAAGGCATAGTTGGGCGTGATCAGCCTGCATGAAGGAATATTAGGTATAAGTAAAGAAACGTCTCCAAGAAAGAGTAAAGCATCAAAAGCTTAAAAGATGAACTTACCATGATGTTTGGCTTCCCATCTGCCCCTCGCCAAGTCACGCCAGCGGTGCTTGTTATACGAGAAGGTCATGGCTAGTTTTCGGACCCACTCTTCAAGGTCGGTGACCGCATGGGGCATCCTAGTGACCGCTGCAAAAAAGATGAAGGCATCACGCAATGCAAAAATGGAATACGAAAGGCTACTAGGAAAAAACTTCACTTACGTTCGGGGTTCCACTTCTCTGGGAACGACATTTTCTCCTCTGGGATGATGTCGCAGGTCCTCACGAACTGGCTCATCCAACCCCGATCTTTATCCTAGTCGTTGCTAGGAAAAAAGGCCTCGGTCGCCCAACGTTGGAGCTTGATCAGCCCTCGAAAAAGCTTAGGCCGATACAATTGGATAAGATTGGTTGAGGGTGAACTCTAGCCCTTCGGCCTTGCTGGAGAAGTAATGGAGCATGATCACTATGCGCTAGAAAGAAGGGTGGATCTGGCCGAGGGTGACCTGGTACCTCTTGCAGAAGTCGATGACGACTAGATCGATGGGACCCAGTGTGAAGGGGTAAGTGCATACACTTTGGAACCCCTCCATATGAGTGGTGATACTCTCCTTGGGGGCGGGGATCTGTACCACAATCTCTCTTCATGGCCTCGAGGTGTTTCTCCTTATCGAGCAAATATATCTCAATACGTGCTCGCATCGGCCTGGGATCGTAGGGGGATTCTCGACTTTGAAGTCATTCTTTATAACACAGGGGTCGGGGACAATCTCATAAAGGGCTGGCACTTTATCATCGGCCGGTCGGGAAGAAGAGAAAGCTTTCTCCTTTTGAGAAATGGTTTTGGAGGTTTTCGCTATTGATTCAGGTTAGAGGAAGCAAAAAGAGATGGAGTTTGATATCTTTTGGCGCTAAAAGGATGGGAGCAACATGTAGTGAAAGAGAGATGAAGAGAGGGAGAGATAAGGGAAGTTTGAAGGTAGAAGCAAAATTTTTATTCGAATAAGGATCCCTGTATTTATAGGCAAACGGTGACGGTTCGACGGTGCTAGTGGTCGACCGCCACTGACAAATATTTAATATTTTGGAGAAAAGAACCGACGGGACGTTTCAGTCACCTCGAGCGCTTACGTCACTGGGATGACATCACCATTATGGTCTCTGAAAATCGGGGTTCAAGTTGTTTCTTATCATTTTATTCTAAGGAGTCACTATCTGCATATGGTGAAAATCGGTGCTACCCGATTTCGTTCTTCAATGAAAAAGATGACACCACTTCGAGAGGTCAGGACACCGAGCTCGGGGTCGAGATTCCTTTCCAGTATCGAGGTCGAGGTCGAAATCATTTGCCGAGGTCGGAAGAAAGCATACCTCGAGATAATACCGTTATGATTCAGTAACAGAAAGAGCGAGATTCCCGTAACGTCCCGAAGATCACGACGTAAATTCCAAAACGGATTTGTCCTTGGCGGTTAGACAGCTGTCCAATAAGATTCCTTACTATAATTAGAAGTGTACTTTATTTAGGACTCCCCTATTTTATAAAGGGGAGTCCATACATTTGTATCAGACCATTCATTGATAAGAGAATATACATTGATCACTTTCTTGCTTACTGTTCATCAGAGTTGCCTTATAATTTACTGTTCTTACTGACCCAACTTGAGACTGTCATAGCTCGAGGTCAAGATTTGGCTTGCATACTGGTTTGACTTACTTTATTCTTCAATTTATATATTTAATTCCTTGTTTATCAATTGGTATTGGACTAAATCACATATTTTTAAAACCACAATATAAGTTTAATTGTTACTCGACTTTTAGGGTAAACAAAGATAAAAAATAAAAAAACAGCCCCTTCGGGGAAGGGTCACACCCCAAGATGTGATGTAGGTAGTCTTTCACGCTTCGAACCCATGACCTATAAGTCACACGGAGATAACTTGATCGTTGCTCCAAGCTAAGGCTCCCCTTAATCTTTTGTTTGAAGATGAGCATGAAATATGCTTCTCACTTTTCACCCTTCATTATTTTCGTGGTAAAACAACACAAAGCTCAAAATGAAATTCAACAATGTAAATCCTTACTATAATATATAGCATATGTAGGTAACTTTCTATCGACATGGTAAAACATTTCAATTATTGGTAAAATGTTAACAAGATTTTTAAAGCGTTGTGTGTGTGTTGGTGTTTCTTTTTTCTTTTTTTTTCGAACGCGTTTCATTCAATGAAACATTTGATTAGTAAAAGCAATAGGATGACTCTCTTCCTCCTCCTCATCCTCTTGATGAACGGGATCAAAACTTGGAGAGTTATTATTAGGGACAGTTGTAGCACAGGTATCATCAGGCAGTTGATCAAAAGCAGTGGAATTGAAAGTGTTGGCACTGTTAATGTTGTTGATGAGGTTGTTGTTTGAAACAGAAGAGTTGTCTGAGTAAGTTGGCTGTAGAATTGCAATGTGATGTTCTTGGTGGAGTTGTTGCTGAAGATGATGTTGTTGTTGTGAAGTTTGTAAAGCATTTTCCATTGCATATCTGTTGTTTATTAGTTGTGTCTGCACTACTGCTAGCTCTGCTTGTAAAGATGCCACCTACAAAATTCATGCAATTGTACTTGCTCATATCAGTCCTTATTATTTTACTCTTATATTGTCTGATGAGTTTAATTTCTTTATATCGATGATGTATAGCTTTTTACCATATTAAGTCAAAGTGGTCTATAACATGAATCAACCTACAATATGGCTAATTTAGTTATTACTTAGGAATGAAAGTTAGTTAGTACTTCTACAACCAGGTAAAAGTTGCTAACAATGGATAGTTTCATTTACATTAATTACTAGTGTATATAAGTTAAATCATTGTATATCGCAGTTTATAAATTATCTAAGAATTACTTTTCATAGTCCGGCTTTTTTAGTTAGACTTCATTTTCATTTTCATTATTGCCGTGTTTTACCAATGTATGTATTTAATTCCTCAGGTGTGCCACATTTGTCTAATGATTAAAGGCTGGCTTGACAACTTTGTCAAATAAGAAAAGGCTGGCTTAATTAGCTGGTAATGAACCACACTGTTTTTTTTTTCTTCTCTTCTTTAAAATCTGGGAGTACTATTCTAGGACAACGATTTAAAGGTAAAACCCTGCACTTGATATACACAAAAAACCTCACGCTACCTCAGTTATTCATCTTACTTTAGTTGAAAACGATCAATTTTAACTCCATTCATTAACCTTAAAATTAACAAACATAAATAAAAAATAGTACTATTCATCAAGGAAATGACAATATAATCTTGAACTTAATTAGCAGTTAGCATTACCGACCCGGCCAATTGGAGTAGTCTAACGTAGTTAATTTAAGCAAGATACGAAGTTCGTCAAAATCATGTGGTGATCCTACGCTGCCCCTTCCACCAATTGGCCCAAAAAATTAGACTGAAAAAGTGGTATTCTCCACAGGAAAAAAGGTTACTTCAAAAGTTGAAGTTTCGTTACAATTAATAGAAATAAAAACCAGAATATCAATAACTAATTAATATTACCACCAGAATGACAAATTATCACATTAATTAATAAAGATTATATCTAAAAGTAGTGACCTGTTGTTGCAAAGCAAGAATGGTCGAAACACAACCATAAACAGGATCCGAGAGTCTAGCCTGAGCTTCATAAGTTATAGTAACTACCGCATCATGCCGCCGGTTAGCCGGAATATGCAACAAGAGCTTAGACACATTACTTGCTCCGAACACCTTGTGCACGGCCGCGAACCGAGCTGCGCCTTGGTCGGAGCCATAATGGGGTGCAAAAATGCATCCACTGATGCATTTTCTTCTCAAGAACTTGCATGCACCACAAGGAGCCGTGGAAGCCGGCAGTATTGCCGAGGCCAGTGGCTCCACGGCTCCGGTAGCACGCTTTCCAGGACCCTTACGTCGGTTCTCCGATGTGCCATCACTAGGTGGCTCATCCATGTGGTGGCTTTACTAAATGGAGAGTGAGAATTTTGTTAATGGTATAGTAAAAGAGAAAGGGTGTTTAAAGACTTGTGTTTTATAAGAATAAGAATGACGAAATGCATGTAAGTCTCGTGAAAGGTTGGCAAAGGTAGAGACGTTAAGGTTGATGAGAGCTGAGAAATATGGGGGTGGGGGGTTTGGTGGGGGGGATAGGATTGTACTTCTTGAGTGTGAGGAGCACGTGCAAAGAGAGTGTTACTACATGTTCACTAAGTTTCAATTTAATCTAACTAGTCGTGTCCATGTTCTTATTTTAAATCCAATGTTTTCCATTACTCTTTTAATTTTTATAAGAAATAAGAAATTTATGTAAGTAAATATGAAAACAATCTCTTGCACAAATAATACTGCATGCAATAGATTCTGGTAGTTCAGCCCTTTTCCAGACCCCGCGCATAGCGAGAGCCTAGTGGACGTGGCGGCCCTTTAAGTAAATATATATAAAAGAAATAGTAGTATTTTTCAAATTTAACTTATTTTATATAATATTAAATTGAGATAAGCTTATAAATATATATTATTGCACCCCCAACTACTTAAAATTGAGGCGTAATTATTGTTTTTGTTGTTAGAATAGTATTACATATATAGGATAGTATATGTGGGAGGTTGGGGAGTTTTGTTAGAGGAGGGAAATGATGGGGAGGAGCTGTCTCTCAAGGCAGGACACAAGATTTTTGCTGCCCGCGGCGTGCGGGAAGGTGGAAACCACGTATTTAGTTAACATATCATGAAATCAATACTTACACTAGTTAGTACATGTTTTCTTTGCAGTTGTGACAAAGCTAGATTGCATAATCACCTACCATATACTAAAAGTAAGGCTATATTGTGGTCCGGTCCCGGGCCTAAATGGGCTAAAGGGGCCGGGCCAAACGGTCCCGGACTCTAGCGGGCCGAGCCCAAGCAGTCCTGGGCTTAACGGTCCTAGAGGGTGGAATCGGCCCACTGTGGGCCTAAGCCCACATGGTCCCGGGCTAAATGGGTTGGGCCCAGGGGCCTAAGTGTTCCGGGCTATTTTTTTTGAATTTTTTTTATCTAAGGCAATTCTTGTAAATTATATTATATAATTGTGACTTAAATCTTTTAATTCAAATTTAAACACAAAAAAATTGTAAAGAAATATTCAAGGAATACCTTATAATTTTTATTATTACGACATTAACAAAAAAATGACAATATCTTTCTTAGTCTTCCTCCCCCCAATGGAATGAGCACAACAAGGTGCTAATACCACCATTAAAAGGAAAAAAAAACTAATGAAGATGTGCTAAAATACAAGTTACATATTAGTCTACATATTATCTCTAACAAATTTCATAAATCCTTCAAGGTTCGGAGGAATTTCCGTTGGTGGTGGCGGAAAAGAAGCTTGTTCATCACCGCTTCCGGGCGAAGCAACATCCTCCGCAAGTTCCGCTAGCATTTCTTCATAAGCTTCGTCTATCTCCGATTTTGATTCAGCAAGTCCAAAATTTCTTCTTTCCGAGCTGGTCCAATCCCTGAAGAGTACTGATTTTTCCAAGCTCTCTCTCATAGACGCACTATGATCACCGATTTGAAGTCTCGCTTGACTGAAAGCGCTATCTGATGCCACTATTGAAACTTGAATACTTAAAATATCTCGAGTCATCCTTGAAAGAACAGGATAGTGTTTTTCTTTGTCTTTCCACCATTCCAAAACATCAAAGGAGCCGTCGGGATTCTCTGATTCAAGTCCATGCGACAAATAAACTTGAAGCTCATTTAGTTGTGAACTATTGCCAATATTATCACCTTGAGAACCCCTGAACTCCATCCAAGAACTAAGTGCTTTTAGGCCCGCAGTTCTTTTAGATGATTGCGAACTAGACGAAGTAGGAGTTGAAACATTTGGTCTAGCATGATTTAAGGCAAGTTGATAAGCATTATAAATTATTTGAGCATTTATTTTAATTGAGGCTTTTGCATCTGCAAGTGTAGCAAATTCCTCATCTGAAAGTGATAAAACCTTATAAATATTTGTATACCAAAAGTGAGGTCTTCCTAATTTCATGGTAGGATTTAACATGGCAGCAACACCAAAAATAGGGGGGATAGGAAAAAAAATATTTTTTAAACTTATCTTTCATAGAATTAATAGCAAGTTGATAAATTACCTCACCCTCTGAAAATTGAGTAAACAAATTTGCAAGTGCTGCAATATAAACTAAACAGTTAGAAATAGTAGGATAATATTGCCCATATAGTTCATTTGTAGCAACATGAAATTGTTCTAAAAAGTCTACAAGAATTTTTAACATTAGTCCAATCCTGATTTGTAAGGTGCTCATCATTATCAGCATCACCACCACCAACACGAGCATTAAACATTGCGTTTATTGGGTTTCTATATTCATATGCAACAACTAAACTTTCATACATGTAATTCCATCTAGTTGGACAAGGTTTAGGAACTTTTTTTTCTCTAATGCCAAATTCATCACATTTTTTAAAATATTCTCTAAGTTTACTTCTACAGTTTGAATAAAAAAATCCAATTAAGAGCCATTTTAACCTTTTCAATTTCAACATTTAATATTTTCATACTATCACCGACGATTAAATGGTAAATATGATAAATACATCTAACATGGAAAATATTACTAAATGCAGAATTTAGTGTAATTGTAAGCAAGCCTATAGTATTAGTGTTACTAGAAGCATTATCCATTGAAACTGACATTATTTTATCTCTAATGCAAAAATATCTACAAATATCTGCAACTGTGTTAGCAATAAACTTACCTGTGTGACGTGAATTAATTATTCTATAAGAAATAATGCGCTTTTGTATTTTCCATTCCTTATCAATCCAATGAGTGGTAACAGTAAGATAATCACAGTCATTACTACTTCTACCAATAGCAGTAGTAATAGCAAAGCAACATTTTATATGAGTAAATAAATAGCGTAAATATTGTTTATATTCATATTTATATTTATAAATATCGCTCTTTACGGTTGTGTGAGGCCATCCTTTATAAGTATGATTAAAAACTCTTCTAATATGATGCACAAATTGATGGTTAGAAGGAAAACTATATGGTAAGCACATAACAGTAACCATTTTTGCCAATTCTTCACGACCTTTATTTGGATCGTAATATAAAATGTCACCGGTAACAGTGTTAATTCCCGGTTGAACTAGATTTAACCTGGTACTAGGGTTAACCTGAGTACCTACACTTGTCCCATCTTGCACAACTTTCATTTGAAGAAATCTAGCTCTATCTTTAGGGTGTGTTTCTATGTGTCTAGTCAAAGTACTCGTACCGCTACCGTCTCCAGTAAATTTATGAGTCATAAAAGTCCCCCAAGTTTTACACTTAGCCTTATTCGGATCTCTTAGTTGAATAAAAAAGTGTCAAACAAGAGATGTTTCGCGCTGTTTAGAAGGTTGTCTATTAAAAGTAGGGGTTACTACAAGAGGGTCAGGCGGTGCATCATTTGGATTATTATCAGTTGGGTTAACAACATGACTAGTAGGTGTATCATCTAAATCCGGTTGCGTTTCATCTAAATCATTATTTTCCTCATCATTTTCATCGATAGTTGGATTACCATAAAGAGTATTCATGTATTCATCATTTCATTGTTGACATAGTGTAATATCTTGGTAAAATTGACTATCGGTAAATTAAAAATAAGGGTTATCACTATCAAGAATAATAGCTGGAGGAGGACGGGTAACACGTCTGGGTCAGGAGGTCGGGGGAGGAGTAGTAGCTTGGTCACTAGATTCACCAATTTTAGATTTCACCTTACCACCAAATATTTTTTTCAAAGAAAAGACCATATTAATTATAATTATACAAACTAAAACAAACAAAACTATAATATTAAAACTTAAGAGTTGGAACGAGTTTTTACCGAATTGACGAACAACTTCTTGAAAATTGTATATCGTTGAAGACTTGAATACTTCAATTCACCAACTTCACAATTTTTCACAAATTGCAATAATAAAGTAAGCAATTATATAAGAAAATTAGAGAGAGATTTATGATTTTGTGAGTAAAAAATAAAAGAATGAGGGGGTATTTATAGTTGAGAATATGGAAAAAGTGTAATTATAAAAAGTTTGGGGTTAAAACAAAGTTTGGGAGGCAAATGACTATTTTTTAAAAAGCCAAACGGCTAAATTGGCAGACCAACGGCTAGTTTTTAAACTTCCAACCGTTGGCCAATTTTAAAAAAAATTAAAAAATAGTTGTTGGGCATGTTAGGCCTGGTTGAACCGGCCCAGGCCCGCCAGCTTGTCCCGAGCTCGCGGTCTCTCCATGCTGGACCGGCCCACAGTGAGCTCCTAGGATCGCTTGGGATCGGACCATACGGGCCAACCCGTTTAGCCTAAAACCCATGTGGGCTCGCGGTCCCGGACCGGTCCCGGGCTGGACCCGGACCACAATACAGCCTTAACTAAAAGTTTATTTTCTAAAAAGTTTTGGTTTTTAAAACTTCGACTATTTTTGGAGGTTTCCACGAAAGAAATCCCTTGAAAAAGATTGCTGCTTCAATTGGTAACTTTTTTTTGTTTCAACGTTCTTATAATTAATTAAATAATTTAAAATGTGGGTAAACATCAATTTTATTTATAACAAATTAGGTATTACGTTCTTTTAAGAATATATCTCTGCTAATAAGAGGTGTCTAGATGATTACTACAAAGTTAAATCATCGGTTACGAGGCCTTCCGTTAGGTCAGGGAAAGCCGTACAAGCCCGTACGCCAATATAAGGTATTGAAAAATTTCGACGAGTATAATTTTATGACTGAAAATTAAATGCATTTTATACATAACTAGTTAATGAATCAAAGTGCATGATTTCTTTATTTCTTAATTAGTAGAGAAAATTTGTTTACCGTGGAAATGGTAATAACAAATAAATTTGTTGATGAGACTCTAAAAATATGTGATCTATTTTTATGCTAGTTGTTAAGCAGTTGATGCTAGATATGTGAG